GGGCAAAGCTTGCGTAAGGACCGAGAAGCCTGGTGGTCGAAGCGTGCTAATGAGATGGAAGCAGCAGCTGCATCTGGTAACTACCGGAAGCTCTTCCAGCTCATCCGAGCCACTGGCAGCAAGAAGTCTGTTGTGAGTGAAACAATCTGCGAGGATGATGGGATGCCAATCACTAACATCCATCGACGTCTTGGACGATGGGCAGAATTTTTCGAAGGGCAGTTCAACTGGCCTGCTGCTCCGGCAACATCGGTCAGACTATCCTGCCCTCCATGGCCGGTGACGACTGATCCACCAAACGAGGAGGAAGTCCGCAAGGAACTCCAACTCTTGAAGCGTTACAAATCACCTGGCCCAGATGACTTACCTCCGGCTCTTTTTAAAGATGGTGGTGACTTTTTGACTACGGAATTGACGACGTTGTTTACAAAGATTTGGGAATTAGAGAGTGTACCAACGTCATGGAATGAGTCGATAGTTGTCCCTATCTTTAAAAAGGGTTCACGTCGTTCCTGCAACAACTATCGGGGGATAAGTGTACTTCCGATTGCGTCCAAGCTATTGGCTTCCGTCATACTTCGTAGGTTGTTCAAAACCCGAGAAAGATTGACTCGCAAGGAGCAGGCTGGGTTTCGTTCTGGTCGAGGTTGTATTGATCATATCTTCACCCTCCGCCAAATGTTAGAACATCGCCATACTTATCAAAGGCCAACAATCGTAGTGTTTCTTGACATCAGGGCTGCCTTCGATTCGTTGGACAGGACTGTTCTCTGGGATTGTCTATTGAAGAAGGGTGTGCCTGAGAAGTTTATTAACATCCTAAAAGCCCCTTTATAAAAACACCTCAGGCAGAGTGAGGGTATACAACCACCTCTCTCCATTATTCTATACGAGTAGTGGGGTTAGGCAGGGTTGCCCAATCTCACCATTCCTCTTCAACTTTGCCATCGATGACATTCTGGAAACAGCTCTGATGAATGTAAGTAATGGTGGTGTGGATCTGTCGCCTGGAGAAAGACTTCTCGACCTTGAGTATGCGGATGATATTGTCTTACTGTGCGATAATGCCCAAAGCATGCAATCCGCACTTAATCAGTTGGCAATCAGTGTCCGTAGGTATGGTATGTGCTTTGCACCTTCGAAGTGCAAAGTACTTCTACAAGACTGGCAGGATTCCAATCCTGTACTCACCCTGGATGGTGAGCAGATAGAAGTAGTCGAGAAGTTCGTGTATCTGGGTAGCTGCATAAGTGCTGGTGGGGGTGTGAGTGATGAGATCAATGCACGTATAGTGAAAGCCAGAGCGGCTTATGCCAATCTGGGCCACCTTTGGCGCCTTCGTGATGTTAGTCTGGCTGTAAAAGGTCGGATCTACAACGCGTCGGTGAGAGCAGTTTTGCTCTATGGTTGTGAAACCTGGCCTCTCCGAGTTGAGGACGTTAGACGACTCTCTGTGTTCGATCATCGCTGTCTCCGAAGGATTGCTAACATTCAGTGGCAACACCATGTTAGTAATGCGGAGGTTCGGCATCGTGTGTTTGGGCACAGAGATGATAACTCAATTGGTGTCACCATCTTGAAACACCGACTTCGGTGGCTTGGACATGTTCTACGAATGTCGTCCCAGAGAATTCCACGTCGTGCATTATTTGCCGACTCTGGGACTGGTTGGAAAAAGCGGAGAGGTGGTCAGTGCATGACATGGTGTCGTGGTATGAAAGAAAGCTGCAAAGGACTGGCTTCTGTCGGTCCTTCACGACTCCCTGGTTGGGGTCTGAGAGATGGTGCTACACAGCGGCTAGAGACGTTATCAGATATGGCTCAGAATAGAAGCCAGTGGCGATCCTGCTGTAACCTTCTTTTACTTTCTTCATAAAAAGTGGTTGTGTCTCCCTTACTTGAAAGATTTCTTCTGATTGTACCTTTCCGTTCCATCGTTACGACCGCACTACCTTTCACCAATCTCTTTGTTATCGTTCTCTTTTTCTTTTGTGCTCCTTAGTTTTTTTTTCTTTTCTCTCTTCGAATTTTCATTGTTTTGTGTGGCGCATATATGTTGGCGCTCTCTTGTACCAATATTTATGTGCTCAAATAAATAAATAATAAATATTGTTTTTTTATCAGGTTACTTCTATTCCATTTCTTTTAGTCCACTAAAAATTCTCAAGATGAATCCATTTTTATATTGTTAATGTTTACATAATTACACTTTTGATCCCAATATTCTTAAACTGAGGAAAACACAATGCAAACAGATTTTTATTAGTTTGGTGATGTTTTCTAAAATCCGCAAAGCCCCGAAATATAAATAGACGAAACACTTATGCTCATCTGAAAAACACTAACGACCTTAGGCACTTTGATTATCATTATTTGAACACAAACGTTGCTACAAAAGGGTATCAAAAGGTATATGTGCCATGCAGTAAAAATGAAGTTGTGAAGAGATAGAGAAAGGAAGGTATAATATTCTAAAACATGGATAAAAATTAGTTTCTGTGTAATAATAATAATAATAATAATAATAATAATAATAATAATAATAATAATAATAATAATAATAATAATAATAGAAACAGTCCGGTTGAGAGAAATACGACCAGAAAGAATTCTTTCAGTTAAAGTTATATCCAGTTTTATGAAGAAAGTAACAGCAAGATCGCCACTAGCTTCTATTCTGAGCCATGTCTGATAACGTCTCTAGCCAATGTGTCGCACGATCTCAAGGGTCCTAACTAGGGAGTCGTTAAAGTTCAACAAGAGTCAGCCCAGAACACCACCAGTAATTACCATGGAATATGAAGGGGGAAACATATAATATTCACATACTCAACGTTGAAAAGTCTTTCCCCGAAGAACAAATTTGGACCTTTACCATAACATATCTTCTTAAGGGATGTTTTCTTGGCATAATATTCAGTTGTAATGCTATATGCAATCAATCTGTCTAAATCAATCCACACACTGGAACACCTAAGGTTAGACCAGTACTTTAGAAGTAGTGGCAGAGTTGTATTTATTTATTTGAACACATAAATATTGGTACAAGGGGACACCAAATATATATGCGGCAGAGTTGAAGTCATTGACACAGTCAGTAGATGATTGCGTTACGATCTACCGCAATAATCTATAACAGACTTTGTTTAAACATTTGACCTAGCTTCACATGAACTACAATCGATGAGATACCAACTAACTAGTTCTGTTTCGGCTCTAGAACACAATCCAATACGGTCATTGGCACAGAGTAGCCAGATTAGCACATAATATTAGTTTTCAGATCAACACATGGAAAAAAGGTTTCGTTGGAATCTCAAATATGGGTCTTCGAGAGGCAAACAGTTCTAACAGATAAACTTTTTAGTTTTCTAGTTTGCATCTAAGTGAGGATGTTGTAAAAAAGAAGTTTAAAAAGGATTAATGATATCATAATAGTTACATTAGATATTTTATTGGGTGATACGTTTCGAAAGCTAACCACTTTGTGACATAGACATGTTTAAACAGTTCATAACATTTCACAAAGCAGCCTACTGAGTAAGATTAAGGCGATGAAAGAGTACACTACATGAAATAAGATGACATAGATACACTTGTTGTTTGCAAGCATATTTTTATAGAACATATAATCAGTCAGTCAGTTACAACGTAGGACCAGGCACATATGTGCATCGGTCCAAGTTGCCACATCTCATTAACACAGCAAGATGAACACCAAATTCATAGAAGCAATTAACTCAATGATGTAATATATAAAGGAAAGATTGCATATAAGGATATAGTACAGGAAGGAAGGTTTAATATGTAGAAAGTAGGATATGAAGTAATTTTAGTTGCATAGTTTAAGGGAAGACATAAAGTGTATACACCTACACCATTGTGATCGATTCTGAGCAATGTCACCAAGTCTCCAAACATGGATTACGATAGTCACGCGTACCCCAACCAAGTAGTCTGCATCTACCAACATGCCACAGACCAAAAGTTAGTGACTTCAAGCACTGATGTCACGTTTTGATTTGACCGCCCCTAACTTTCTTCCAACCATCCCCAATACCGGTTAGTATTGGACGTCGTGCTAATCGGTGTTCAGGCATACGCAACCATTTCAGTCGATGAAGATTCACAACCTCATCAACTGATTTACCATCATTCCCTAATACCTTGCGCGTCTAACCTCAATATTACTTACTCGGTGATCCCAGCAGATGCGAGCATATAATACCTATTCTTTATTAGTGATAGTCATAAAGATTGTGATACTGCTCGATTGCTTTTGACATCAACGTTTGACACACAGAACAGTGAAGCAACATAGAGAGATATATTCTCATAGCAGTCAGTAGTCAAACCGTTAATCATGATCATCGGGATCAAACTCCATAAGTACCCTCTTGTACTGAGTATGCAGTCTAGACATTGACAATCCATCTTCACCCTATAGCTTATGTAGAAATATTTTGGCCATGTGATGAGTAGGGTTTCTGTAAAAGAGACGACAAACGCCACCCTGTCTAGTAATATTTCGAAAGAGGAAGTTGAATTTATCCACACTTGAGCTTAGCAAGGTATTTGAGTGAACTGTGAAATTTGAAGGCCCCATAAATATCATGTTACTGTACGATTGGCACACCTCGAACGTAAACAAACTAAATACTAAGTACTCCCTTGTCTTAAAAGGACCCTTTATTTTATACAACTTGGTGATGTAAGATACTTTCATAGTAATAACTCTTTGGAAGCAGCACATCTAATACGCATTCATACTGTATGCACTTATCAGTAAACATACACACTACAAATGAGGAACCTATGTTTTTTTCAATCAGATTAAATTAACGTATTGACCAGATACTTGGGTATGAGCCCAAACTGAAGTATGAACCTGTGTTAAATATAGTGCTTAATGACAAAACCTTAGCTTCATAATATGGTACAGGTTCACCTACAAAGCCAACACTCAAGGCCGGAAGAGACCCTAGAACAAAAGTACTTACCGTATCCAGGAGATGCTCGTAAAGTCAAATCCATAAAACCAGAACTAGAGTTCTTGGAACCATCTTTTTCATAGTGTTGTGAACATCTACTCCATCTCCGCTGTTCAATATTTGGGTATGGTGAAATGTTTTTTGGATTTTTAGAGATCGAAACGTTTGTGGACTCAATAACATGTAAATCTGAGGAAATTTTTGGAGTTTTACAACTGGTAGGTGATGGACGAGACCAACACCTTTTGCGTGTACGAGCTGCATAAGGTGAAGAATTGAACACCTCAGTGTCATCGTCATCGTCTACGTCATCAGCAACTTCACCCTCTTCTTGGTTTTCTATTCCTCCCCCACAGGTTTCAGAGTGGTCTGACTCCGTTAAAGAATGGTCCGATCTAGAACGTGAATGGCAACTTGTACATAGCGACCGGCTGTTATTGCTACTAGTATGCGCAAATGAATCTTCTGGTTGAGTCGGTATTTTTCTACAGAAACAAGGTATATTTACAATTATTACGTAAATAAAACTATAAAACGGCATGTATTTTGTACGTTACAACAAACTTGCTACTACTAACCTTAGAGAATCATAACAATCGAACCCAGGTTTCTGGCTTAATCATCGTTAAACACTGTTGTTAACCATTTTCTGCTGACTGCAAACTTATTTTTATTCTGATAAATTTCGTTACTTTTGCATTTTCTTAGTGAGATAGTTCCTGAGATAAATATCCAATTGATGGTTGATATTTTCTGTCTTTTTATATCAGCGTTTTGTTTCCATTGGAGAGAATTCAAGGTCTAATTACTGTTGTTCTTCGGCATTCGACTAAAAGGATTTAGGATATTAATACTAATCTACTTGGCAGTAACGAGAATACTTAAGATTAAAAGGTATTTGATTTTTTATGTAGAATAATTACTATGTAGCCTTAAGGGGAGTACAAACTGCAACTGATCCCCTCAAATGAAAACGAATATCACTTTTTTAATAATAGTAACCTTTATCGTCTAAAACATTGAGTTCTATATTCGAACCTTGAACCTAATGGAGGCAAGTACTTAATTCTCAAAGCATATGGTGAAATCCAAACAAAGAAACTAATTTATGCAGATATTATTTTATATGATATTCAGTTTACTTACACAGAAAAAATCTTGCTGAAAGTTAGATAGCCATCGTGTTCACAATAGCTTAATAAGTATAAATCTATTGTTTCAACAGAACATATTCTGGATTTTCTATAATTAACATTATACGATACGAAATAGCCCTAAAAGATATCTATACAATGTGGAAATGGATACAGTGTCACACCTGATCAATCGATGAGTTAGTGTTTCAAGAACCAGAATTGTCACCGTTGGATAACCAGACCTGGACTGCTATTAAAACAACTAATTGGTCAAGTATACGCTTGTTTACTAGAATGATAAACAGATAAATGTTGATTGAAAGATAATTTCTCCGTGAACGTACTAACAATAAAGATAGTAAGAGCAAAACTATTTACAGTAACTGAATGGTCCTCCATCAAACGTTTACGGGAAGCTACATAGACAGTTATTCACTTTTGCTTTATTTTAGATAAACCGTCATAGCAAATAAATTTTGAAAAAACATTTAAGAAAAACGAACCTTGTGAGAGGTGAAGCAGTTTTATCTTCAACACAGTCCTGATCATGAGAAATAGGTGGAGTAAGTCCCAAAACTTCTGGAATAATTAATTCGCCAATTTTGTTTTCTACAGATGAGAATGAAGTGTTTTTTGGCAAGAACTGATTTGAAGATTGATCAGACGGGTTGATCGAGTTTGTTACATGTTCATTAGAGTCATGGACGATTTCCTGAGCCGAATAATCTTTAAGGAGGTGAATATCACCAACAGTGTTTGATGAATCAGGAATTAAAGCATTAGGTGTAGAATTCTCATTAGAAGTTAACTGATCACTTTCTTTATCTGGTTTGTGACCTGAATCATTCGGTTCTCGAGAGGTTGACTCGACGATCATATTTGTACTGTCACCTTTACAACGTAGACGTCTGGTGTACAGTGTACAACTAGCTTCCCTAGTTCGTTTTTCGGGTTCGCTTGAGCAATCACCACTTTCCAAACGGGATATTTCAGTATGAGTTTGATAGTTACAGTGTAGATGTTTTGAATATCGATCACGGTGGATAGAATTGGCTAGGGAAAAAAAACTTTGTGAAGATAAAATTTCAAAAAAAATAGTCCGAACATAGTGTACCAAAAATATAGATGTGAGAGGAATTTTAGCACTAAAAATAAGGTGAATAAGCAATAAGGGTGAAAAATTTCTACACACGTGAATAAGCTTTGTTTACATAAAGTATTTTTCAGAAATACATAGTCCATTTGAGAAACCAGCTTAAAACTTCCTTAAATTCGCTACCAAGAGAACGAACGAACAGCACATTTACCTGTGATAGCCTACAAACACTTTTACTACTACCTGGATTTAAGGTTGAACAGAAAGAAAAAATACTGGTTGCATAGGTACAATTTAACAAAAGCTACATAATAAAAAAATTACCTGCATTATGTTGTCTGCGAACTGCATGATGATCTCGAGATAATCGTATGGCGCCTTCTACAGCTTTCAGGAGATGATTCGGAACATGACCTCTGCAAGATGAATCTGGACCAGTACCTGAAAAGTGAAATGTTAGGTAAGCGGCTATAGAGTGACAGCAAACGATTCCTGTGACAGTAGAATTCAACATCAACAAAAAAAGGTTAAAAATGTTTGCCATACTTCTTACACTTAGGACCTGTTTATCCCATTTAGATATACAGATGAAATTTTAAATAGTTGGTTGGCAGTAGAATCACAAGGTATACTTCTATGTAGTTAATACCTGTATAAAAGTGATTGATCGAAAGATATTTTAAATGCATTTACATAGTATCAGGTTTGATTAAGAACACGATCTAATAAGCTCACATTCTTATCATGGAAATATGTCAGTTATTATAATGAACGAGGTGTTTTAATTTCTGAATTACATACAATAGGTCTAAACAGACAGCAACGACAACAAATTACTCACCACTTGAATATGATTACAACAAAACAGAATAATCAGTGTAGTGTTGTGGAGATTGTTGAGTTTTGATTGAGATCATAAATGGATCAATGTTGGACGAACATTGAAAACCTGGAGGCACTGAACAACCGTTTTGTCCTAGTATGGAACTCCTCAGTAGTGCTTTCAGATTTTCAATATAGTCGTCTAACATTGATCCATTCATGATCTCAATCAGAATAGAATAAATCAAAGAGGATTCGGAGTTAGCGGATTTTAGTATAGGTATCACCTTAGGAGGAAAGACATCTTATAAACTTCTTACAGGTGGTTACCATGGATAGGATTTGTCCTCCATGTAATCGTGGGTCAGACTTAAAAAAGAAACTAGAAGTGATTCCATTGACAAACTGTTGGGGACGATAGATCCCCCAAACTCATATTTTTAAATTTTATCTTGTCGATCAACTTATCGATTAAATGTTTAAATATTTGTATTGGGGTCAATTGATGAACTGATCGATTAAATGTTTGAATAGTAGTCAGTTGATGAACCTATCAATTAGATGTGCAAATAGGTCAATTGATGAACTATCGATTAAATGTGCAAATAGGTCAATTTATGAACTCATTGTTTAAAAATTTTCTATGACAATATTGATTGTAAATATTTGTATAAATACGCTTGGGTTGTGTTTGACTTGACTTGTTATCTGCTGTGTGTCTGCAGAATACACTTCTACACCTTACCCAGACTTCTTGATCGAATTAGCAGAGTTGGGGACAACGAACCAGAACAGCTAACGAGTTGCTGAGTCACTGATCCTTCGTTCCATTGAGTAAGACGCATCAGCAATAGCATTCAAGCGAATAACGAATCATAGCAAATTGGCGATGGTGCTTTTTCAATAAAGGACCCTGCCAAACTTGAACTGTTACTTGAGCAGCAGCTGAAATTGATGCAAATGTTGATGGATACCAAGGTTACGCCTCCCTTACAGCCAAGCACGTCTAGTTCGACCACGGCACCATCGGTTGATGAAATTGCAAATAGCATAGCTGAACTTCATTACGATCCTGAAGCTAATGTTACTTTTGAGATGTGGTTCAGGCGTTATGAAGATCTATTTAAATTTGATTTCGCCAATCAAGATGATGCTTGGGATGTGCGACTGCTACTTCGTAAACTGGGTGCAAATGAGCTGGACAAGTATTGCAATCTGATCCTGCCGTTGAACCCTCGTGACCGATCATTTGAAGATACAGTTCAAACATTAAGCCAACATTTTGGCGATAACTCGTCTCTGTTTAATACTCGTTATCGTTACTTGAAGCTAACTATGAACGAAGATGATTTTCTTACGCATGTGGTCGTCGTCAACCGTGAATGCGAACGCTTCCGTTTAAAGTCCTTGACTAAAGATCAGTTTAAAGCCCTGATACCTATTGGCAGCCTGCAGCACCAAAAGTTTAGTGACTTACGAACAAGACTACTAAGTCGTTTGGATCAAGAGCGGAAACTCACCCTGAGTGATATAGCTAATGAATATCAGCGTCTCATTAATCTGCAACGAGACACTTCTATGGTCCAGAGTGGTGGGTCTAACCGATCTGAAGTACGAGGGTGCAACAGACACCTTACAAAAACAAATACGTCCCGCTTCATCCAGTCCATCTCACTCCAGCCCGAGACGACAGACCAAAGCAACTCCTCCTGCTCCTTGCTGGCAATGTGGTGCATGGCACTACGTTCGAAACTGCCCATTTGAGCAACATCGATGCAAGAAGTGTAAGGTTATTGGTCATAAGGATGGGTTTTGTCTGAGGAAGAACACTCCAAGTCAATCCAGAAATACCAAAAACACCCTTCTTAGATCCCGCACCAATTCATTGAGCTTAGTATCTTCGTATCAAAGCTCATCACCAGATCAGAGAAAATGTTTTACTGTTAACATTAATGGGCATTCACCTAGATTGCAAACAGATACAGCATCAGATGTCACTATCCTCTTTCGTAAGACTTGGACCAAAATGGGCAGCCCAAACTTGCAGCGTACAACGCAAAAGCCTCGTACTGCGTGTGGTAATTACCTTCACCTGCTAGGACAAATGCAATGTACAGTTACTTTCCGTGATTTGGCATTTGTTGGGGTATGCTACATAACATCAGCTGATCTAAACTTGCTCGGGTTAGATTGGTTCGATCACTTAAATTTAGCTGATGTCCCGTTGAATACCATATGCAACCTGGTATCACAACCCCAACTACGACAACAATCACATGACTTGGAGGCTTATACGATGAACCTAATGACGCAGTTTTCAACTATTTTCCAACTTGGATTGGGTCGCTGCTCTGCCATGAAAGCAACACTTCGATTGAAAACTGGGGCCACGCCTGTTTTTCGCCCAAAGAGACCTGTGCCTTATGCAACATTACAAACAGTAGATGAAGAATTGAACCGCCTCCAACAACAAGGAGTTATTACTCCCGTTTCCTACTCTGCATTGGCAGCACCTATCGTGGTTATTAAGAAGGCCAATGGCACGATACGTATATGTGCTGACTTTGCAACAGGTCTCAATGCAGCTCTGGAACAACATCACTATCCCCTGCCTGTTCCCGCAGACCTATTTACCATGCTGAATGGGGGAAGATTTTTCGCTAAACTAGATCTAGCTGATGCTTATTTGCAAGTGAAAGTAGATGAAGCATCAAGAGAGCTGCTAACTATCAATACCCATCGTGGTTTGTTCCAGTATAACCGTCTACCTTTCGGGGTCAAAACGGCACCATCTATTTTCCAGCAACTAATGGATACTATCCTATCAGGTATCTCAGAAGTCGCGGCTTATTTGGATGACATTTTGATTGTGGCGACGACATTAATAAGACCTGTTTACAGCAACCAAAAATGAAAAGTGATGGCATGGAAACGAGGTGGATATTCCGATTTCGAGCATGTTCATTGAACGTGTTATCTGTAGATTAACATCACAAGCAGTTTTCCTACCAGACAAGGGTAACCATGCAATCAAAAGAGTAAGATAACTTATAACTATGATAGTGATTTGTCGGAACTCAAATCCACAAGCATAATAAACCATTGATGTAATGGAGAAAACTGAAGTAAAGAAGGAAACGTTGTGGCTCAGTGAACTAAAACACGCAACTTTGCGACAAAATTAATAACACTTATAAACTACTTTAACATTGGTAAGTGCAGCTAAATTCAAGCATGTAATTGACGAGGGAGAGAGAAATGACTGCATTTTTACAACTCTATCAAAATCAACGGAAACATACTTAAGAGTGAATTTTAGATGTGCTTTAGATAATACAGCCTTAAAACGATCTAAGTAGAATATTAATCTTATTTTACTTTTTATCAGCAAGTATTTAACAACATAAATAATCAAAGCATTGACACCAATTTTTCTATACATGTAACTGAGTATCCATGTATAGGTGCGCATATGAAGATATGAACGTTGGTTTTTGAATTAGTTCTTATATTAAAATTAGACCCAAATAAGATAAGTTTTAAACTTGTAACCGAATCAACAAACCACCCAAACATTTAATTTATCAAATAAGTTGTCGTTTATATAACTACTCCTTAGATGATTATTAAAGTTGAGATCAAATGAAATTGATTTTATTCATAATTATCCAAAAACTTTTTTTTTCCCAATGACAAAACTCGTATCGTCAAGTGCATTTTATTGAGATTCTGCATTAAACTTATGTTCAGCTTATGAAATACGCTACATACGATATTCCATAATGATCTTAGGCTGCTAAAGTGTTCACAGTGAGCATAAGAGTATTTAAATTTATACTAAAAACTTACAAGATTCATTAGTCTGACTTTGAGTGAGTCTAGGTAAGGAAGGAGAAACATGTTGAACCATTCTAAAGTCCTTTGAAGTAGAACTTCGAACAGAAGAGTGTTTGTTTATACTATTGTTTAATGGCGATGAAAATTGTCTAACTCCTCGCATCGATAAAATTCTGCTTTCTGATGATGTGTCTGTTTTTCTTCCGGGATTACTTGCAACTTCATCATCTTTTTGTTTCCTTTGATGAAAGCAATGAGATTTAGAAAACAACTGCCCATGAATTGTTTTAGTATATTTGTGCCTACATTCATCAGCAATAGGAAGTTGTTTATCCGCATTATAAGCTGGTATACTTTTATCTCCGTATTTCTTATTAGAGCGATTTAGCCGTTTATTGACACGTGAACTTCCAGATAAAGTACTATTTTGCTTGAGTTCACAGGATTTCTCATACACTGCATGTTTAACTGAGTCACGGCATCCACAATTCTCTAGATTCTTTCCACTCACATCAACTACAGACAGTGAATGTGATAGTAACGATTTACCATCTACAGATGGGTCTAGAAAGCTATGTGAGAGTCCATTATTCATTAAACCAGTTTGAGACGTAGGTTGGTCCTGACTAGTAGAACTGGAAGATGACGTAGATGATGATGATGAGCTAGAAGACACTGAACGTGATGACTGTGAGCCGAAAGAAGACCCAGATGAATGTGAATTATATTTTTTAACACGTTCAGTCTGTGTAACTGCATCGCACTTTGAAACAACATTAAGATTTCTATTCGGCACATTGTTACCAGAGTATATATTGATAGGTGGACGATCAGAATGTAAATATGCTACTAGATCCGTGTAGTAATTCTGCTTCTCGGGGTTTATTTGGGTATCACAATTCAAATTCTTTTGACTAACAGCTTTTGGCTCCGGAACCCTATATCTAGGATCAAAGTTTTACATTGCACAAACGAAAATATGAATTACGACATTTGAGAGGTATGGAGATTAGGAAACGATTGTCCAACTTTCCATAATTTAGACAGCAAAATAGGAAAAATGTTAACTGTTTATGTTGATGCGGCTAAAACCACTTAAATTTAGGCAGAGTCAAAAGCAGGAAGGAAGTGAATCTTGATGATATTTTGAACTTCGTTTCACCCATGCGGCCGGAGAACATGTTGAATACATTGAGTGACCTTCAACTCTAGAACGATGCTACTTCAAGTCGTCGTGTTGCAGAAATTATGTAAGTGGATAGACCTAAACATTGAATCAATCCATAAAGTTACTTAATATTAGTTTAAGCTGTGCAGACAAGTGTAATATTTCTGGGTGAAACCTTTCATAACTCAGTACTTAATGTATGAAGACCGTAAGTGTCACGGCTCGAAATAGATTAAAACAGTGAGAATGTATTTATTAACTTTTCAATATACATGAAAATCACTCATTTTATGGTTTTCGTTCTATTGTGAATTTCCTTTCTCTGTTCTATAGCAAAGTGTATCAGATTTGATTACTATACACTCTTACGTTATGTAGTTTGTAGCTTTATGCAGATGGAAAAACATTTGAGTTAGACTAGGGAACTCCAGAATTGTTGTAAAAGTGAGAGACTGACAGAAGATTATCTCGCATTGCAACTCTTTCAAGTGATAAATTTTGTTGAGGGTAGTGAGGTTTGTTCAGACCCTTCCATTAATGTCTTTATTTTTCTACATTTAATTCAGTATTCCGACTGTAGTATTTAGCTGACTAGCCAAGTTCGTAACTGCCTGAAGCTCTTCTAGGGTTACTGCTGGTCCTAAGTTCACACAGAGGAGGGTTGGGTATGGGGTCAGTAACCCCATCCTGTAGAAAAAAGCTTTCAAAAAAACGTTAACCCGAGTAACCGAATCATATAATTCAAACTCTGCCCTCTGAAATGAAGGAAATATGGCGCCTCATGATGAAAACCAATATTCTTCGGAAGTCATGAGGTTGATGCCTCTTCTAACAACCAGAGCAATAACTAATATAGGTATGTGAGATGTCCGGACAATGTGAGAGGCCAGGAGGATTAGTCAAATAGCTGTAAAAATTAGGATATACAACTTGACGGTGCTCAGAATCAGCGAAACTTAATGGGCCCAAGCTGGACAGAAAAGGTTAAATTCAAGAGAAATGCTGCTGTACTCTGATCAAGAAGAAAATGCTTCGTACACTCAATGAGTTGCTCTGATGCTATCCAAAAAAGCACGTAAAGCACTTATATGAAGGGGATCTCATGGATCCAGGATCATCAAAGCACCTTTCATAACAAAGAAGGAGCGGATCACAATGAATGTTACCCAATGTTATGTACCCACCAATAATAGTAGTGAAGATGATAAATATCAGTTCTACGAGGGGCTGCAATAAATGATAGCGAAGTGCTCAGGAAACGACCTGACCACCCTGATGGGAGACTTAAATGCCAAAGTCGGAATGAACAACAGTGAGTATGAAAATAGCATGGGACGACTTGGACCGACTGAGAAAAAGGAACTATAATGGTGACAGATTTGCAAATTTATGTACATTCAATAAAATGGTTATAGGTGGCACAATATTCCCCCACAAATGCATACACAAAGCTACATGGGTCTCACCAGATCACACTACAGACAATCAGATTGACCATATTTACAGAAAAAAAATCAGGTCAATGAAGGACGTGAGAACCAGGAGAGCTGATACAGCTTCAGATCACTACCTGGCGGTTGCCAAGATGAAATTGAAGAAGCAACGAACAACTAGGGAAACAGTATTACAAAGGTTCAATAAAGCCTTCTTTAGAATTCCTGGCAAACATAACGAATTCAAGATAACTCTCAACAACAGGTTCCAAACCCTACAAGATCTACTCAAAGAAGACGAAACTACTACAGAGGACAATTGTAAAAGGGTCAAAGAAGCACTAACTTCAACGTATCAGAAGGTTCTGGGACGCAAAAAGCATCAACATAAGAAATGAATCTCTATCGAAACACTAGGCAAGTTTCAAGAAAGGAAGAAAAAGAAGAGAGCAACTAACAAGAGTAGTACAACAAAAGAGAAAGTCAAGACACAAAATTGAATACACAGAAGAAAACAAGCAAGTGAAAAGGAGCATTAGAGTCGACAAGAAGAAATACGTGGAATAAGTAGCAACGACGGCGGGAAAAGCCGAAGGAGGAGGAAATATGAAACAACTACATGAAACAACGAAGAAACCAGCACGGAGATATAGTAAACCAGAGAGGCCGGTCAAGGACAAAGAAGGCAAGAACGAAGGGACAGATGGGTGGAATTCTCCGAGGAACTGTTGAATAGACAAGCTCCATTGATTCCACCGGACATCGAAGCAGAACACACAGACCTTCCCATAGATGTCACTCCATCAACGATCGAAGAAATCTGGATGACCATCAGACAAATCAAGAGTGAGAAAGCAGCAGGATCTGACAATATACCAGCTGAAGCACTGAAGTCAAACATAAGAGTAACTGCAAACATGCTTTACCTTCTATTCACAAATATTTGGGAGGAGGAATAAGTGCCACCGACTGACTGGAAAGAAAGATATCTGGTCAATATGCAGAAGAAAGGAGATTTGAGCAAATATGAAAACTATCAAGGCATTACGCTACTGTCGTTACCAGGTAAAGTTTTCAGTGTTGCTGACCCGGATGAAAGATTCAGTAGATGCCCAACTTCGAGATCAATACGCCGGATTCCATAAGGATCGGTCGTGCACAGACCAAATCACGACACTACGGATCATCACTGAGCAACCAATTGAGTGAAACTCGTCACTATACATCAGCTTCCTTGATTATGAGGAAGCCTTTGACAGTGTAAGTAGGAGGACCCTGTGGGACCTTCTTTGACACTATGGTGTACCTGAGAAAATCGTCACCATCATCCGGAATTCATACGACAGAGTGCAGTGCAAAGTCGTGCATGCAGAACAGCTGACAAACGTATTTCAGCTGAGGACCGGAGTCAGACAAGGCTGCTTGTTCTCCCTCTTTCTCTTTCTTCTGGCGGTTGGATGGATTATGAAGACCTCTATATCTGAAAGGAAACACGGAATACAATGGATAGCTCAGGTGCAATTACGTGATTTGAACTTCGCAGATGACCTGGCTCTCCTATCCCGTACACAGCAACAAATACAAATGAAGACAGCCAGTGTAACAGAAGCCTCTGCATCAGTAAGCTTCAAAATCCTGAACGAAGCTGCTACCTTGATGTGGTGGTCGGGCTTGTCTATCGTGATGACCCAAACGAGCTATATTGGCTGGAACATATGTTTCTGTATGTTCTACCATGCCAGGCAGGTCGAATGGAGAACGGTAAGACTAAAAGCAGCAACTAAAGGTCTGAGTGCGAAGACGCACTGCTGACTGTAGAGGGGTGTGATAGCAGTAAGGTGTTTCCCTCGGACAACCAGCATCTGCAGCGATGCTGCCTTCCCACAAGGAGGGGTGAAAAAAGGTCGACCCTAAACATGTCACACCTCACCTTACCTCACGGACTTCCGTCTCGGGCGGTAAGGCCTTTTGAAGAACGGAGCTAACACGTCAAATACCAGCCGTGCGCGACCGGCCTTAAGCAGTTGTCCCTCGGGCTCTACGGTCACGCTCCCAGGTCGTTAAGGAAAACATTATTTCCAACTTCCTTTTCAGGTTCCTCAAAAAATACCCTTCCACGGTGTGGGCAGCCGGGAAGTGACATCAGCCCTCATACCCGTAACAACACACGAGACCAAGTCGGTCACATTCAAATCCTTCCTACACCTAATACCTCTCTTATCTCCATGACTAACCCTCCCCACGTCTCTTTATCACCTCGCACCGCTAGGGCAAACGATTCGAGTACGCGGAACGTTATTCCTGGTCTCCTTAAACCACGCTCTAAACTACATGTAGGAGCTTTTAACATCCGAACACTGTGCCAAATAGGACAACAGGCTTCCTTAGCTAAGATTTCAGAATCCCTCGCCATCGACGTGTGCTGCGTCTCCAAAACTCGCACACAGGACCCGAGTAGCGTCATTCATTTGACATCACCATATCAAAACAAAGAACCAACTCGATTCACACTCCGTGTATCTGGAAGCCCTGATGCTGCTTCTCATGGCCTCGCCGGCGTAGGTATAGCATTGAGTCCTAGGGCAGAACAAGCTCTCTTAGAGTGGATCCCAGTAGACAGTCGTTTGTGCGCTGTCCGACTACACGGAACAGTAAGGATCCGAAAAAATAGGGACACTCGTCGTTGCCTCTTCGTCGTCTCTGCCTATTCTCCTACTGAGTCAGTCAGTAACAACGTATAACTTCGTACGTACGTACATCAGTTCGAGGTGCCACACCACATTAGCACAGAGATGCCGTGGTCGATTCAAATCCCGTTGTGGTAGAGGTAATAAGAGTATAAGCAGTAATTGGAAAGATTAGTATTTGGAGATGTTACTTAAAGAGTATAATACAGTGAAATAAACTTGGGAAGATGATGTAAAAGATGAGTTTTACAGAAAGCTCTCCGACCTCCTCCGAAAAGCTAGGCGCTCGGATGTAGTAATAATTGCCGGTGACTTTAATGCCCAAGTAGGTAAACTAAGCGATAAGGAAAGACACCTGGGTGGATCTTATAGCATCGTGGCTCAAAGAACAGATAATGGCGACCGTCTGTTACAGCTATGCTCAGATAACCGCCTCTTTCTTGCAAATACTAACTTTAAGCATAAGGAAAAACATCTTTTAACATGGCGACCCCCTAATTCGTACCAACGTTGGACCCAAATAGATCACATCGCTATCAGCTACCGATGGAGGGGCTCGATAGAAGACTGTCGCTCATTCTGGGGCACATGCCTAGATTCAGATCATGCTCTAGTACGAGCGCGTATCTGTCTGCGTCTTACTGAACGTAGGAAAGACGCTGCAAGGAAACCTCTTAGGGGCCTACTTAATGATAGTCAAGCTAAGAGTATATTTCAGGAACAACTAGGAAAAGTTAGGCAGGCATATATATGATGTCCACCCCGAGGCAGCATGGAATGATATCCGAAAAGCTGTGGAAACAGCAGTGATATCTGCTAGTAAGCTAAACCAGAAGGTTAGGGAGCAACACTGGATCTCAGCAGCATCTATCACACTGATAGATGCTCGGAAACTCATTCCACCTGGCTCTGAACATAATAAAGAGCGGAGTCAGCTCAAGCGCAAGCTGAAAAGAAGTCCACGCAATGATCGTGAACAGTGGTGGGTAGCGAAAGCAAGAGAGATGGAAAAGGTAGCGGCAATAGGTTCTATGGCAGTGTTCGTCACTGAAAGGAGTACCAAAGAAGTACATTGACCTTATAAAGGTTCTCTACTCGAACACAACTGGTCGAGTGAGAGCTTATGGCGAACTGTCATCATAATTGATTACCTCAAGTGGTGTTCGTCAGGGATGTCCACTCTCTCCATTCTTGTTCAACTTTGTCGTTGACGTGCTTTTAGAGATGACACTTTCCTCATCTAAATTTCCAGGGGTTGAACTTCTACCGGGAGACTCACTTGTTGACTTAGAATACGCCGAAGACATAGTTCTATTCGGTGAAGACGCTGACAAAATGCAGTCTTCTGACCACTATAAGTAACAATGCAAGCATGTTCCGCATGCGATTCTCTCCCTCGAAATGCAAAATATTGCTTAGGAATTGGGTTGGATTGACACCCGAACTAATGATAGGGAGTGAACTAATTGAGCGTGTCGATCGCTTCACTTATCTTGGAAGTCTCATCAGCCCTTGTGGTCTGGTGTGTGACGAAATCTCAGCACGGATACAGAAGGCTCGACTAGCTTTTGCGAACTTGCGTCATTTATGGCGTAGGCGAGATATCCGTCTATCAACCAAAGGACGGGTTTACTGTGCAGCAGTTCGTCCCGTCCTACTTTATGGGAGTGAAACATGGCCGGTAAGAGTATAGGATATTCGTAGGTTACTAGTATTCGATCATAGGTGTCTTCGAAACATTGCTCGTATATCATGGGACCATCGAGTAAGTAACACAGTTGTTAGGAAACGGGTACTAGGTAAGGATGGCAAATCAATTGATGAAGTAATGAAACTTCATCAGTTGAGATGGCTGGGACACGTGTTACGTATGCCAAACGACCGACTGCCTCGACGTGCGATGTTCAGTGGTATGGGAGTAGATTGGCAGAAAGCTAGGGGTGGCCAGATCAAAACATGACATAAACACATGAAGTCACTGACAAGTGGACTGAGCCATGTTGGTAGGTGTAGGCTACCTGGTTGGGGACCGCGAGATGATAGCAACCGATGGTTAGAGACCCTGAACGACATGGCTCAAAATCGTTTGCAATGGCGCAGGTGCATTCACTCTTTGTGCTCTCCCAAATTTTAATCTTCTGAATTCTTCATATCCTTTATTTTCTTTCCAAATTTATTTGACTGGATTATACTCTTTAAATAACATCTCCAAACACTAATTTTCCCGATTACTGCTTATACTCCTACCACCTCTACCACTACGGGAGTTGAATTGACAACTGCATCTCTGCGCTAGTGTGGTGTAGCAACTCGAACTGATGTATGTACGTACGAAGTTTTACGTTGTTACTGACTGACTGAGGCTTCAACATACACAAGGGAAAAAGCAAGGTCCTCAAATACAACACAGAGAACACCAACATTATCACACTTGATAGAGAAACTCTTGAAGTGGTGAAAAATCTCACGTGCCCGTGCATCATCATCGTTGAACAGGGAGGATCTGATGCAGACTTAAAGGCAAAGATTGGCAGAGTAATGGCTGCATTCTTACAGTTGAAGAACATATGGAAACCAAAACGTCTATCAACCAATATCAAAGTTACAGTCTTCAATACGAACGTCAAGACAGTTCTACTGTACAGAACTGAAACTTAAAGAACTACTACAATAATCATCAAAAAGGTACATGTATTTGTGAACAATTGTCTAAACAAGATACTCAATATCCCTTGGTCGGATATCACCTTCAACAGCCTACTGTATGAGAGGTCAGATTATGGGATGGAATATCTTTAATGGGTGAAAGCTACAATATTGACTTGATTAGAAACCTAAATTTACGGCGGCATGATGTACTTCTGTACCAAATAAGTTGTCTTGTATGTCATTTTAAACTAAATGATGCTGTTTGGAAAAGACCGTCAGACCAAGTCTTTCTCATATATTTCCCTTGCATATAGATACATTTTTATAAAGGTATTTATTTTATTCCTTATCTGAGTCATTATTAGCTGGAACTAGAAATCAGAACATTAACATTGTCCGAAGTCATTTTTTCATACAATTTAGCTTTTATAGAATTTGTGGGTAGCTAAAATGTATTATGTTCAACCAACAGATGGTCTCCTAATCTTCCCAGTCGAATTAAAAGTACTCTGCGATTATACCAATAACCTGCGTCTGAACTATTGCATGAAATGGTATATTTACGATGATCAGCAAACCATGGGGAATAAACTGTTTATTTTGCTCATTTATATTGCTTTCTAGTACAAATGATGATTGCTTGTCCACCAAAAACACATTAATATATCATTTAGCTTTGGTAGCAATGATGCATCTCTTAATATTCAAATGCATCTACGAATGGTTGGTAGCATAATTATTTATCCCCAAATGTCCTGGGACGGTCGAGGGTCGAGACAGCCCGCTCTCACACTCGAAATACTCTCACATGGCTACGTGTATACAGGCACTCAGGGAAGTCTTACCCACTGCCTTCTTGTGGCATTACTGTGATTTACGAAATTGAACGGACGAAAAGCGAATGTCCGGCTCTTTAACCGGGTCGGTGGTCACAGAAGGTTCACCTAGGGGAGTTGGAAAAACCTGATTCCAAACCAATGGTGCAGATGAGCACCATGATCCCGAGGGGGAAAATGGAGTATGAACCTATTGTTGGTCACTGGCTACCATGGGACTGCATCTCCTAATGTTGCTCCACTGCCTTGTGGATTAGACCTTCAGGTCAAAGGGTCGGTGTGGGGCTCCACAAGACAACCACCTGCTTCGATTTAGGCACCCGAGCAGTGTCACAGCCCTTACACGAATCAATAATAATTACTACTGACCTCATTGTTATTGTGTGGCGCATATGTATTCGGTGCCTCCTTTATGTGATCAAATAATAATAAATAATTACGTCAGATCATGCCAGTTTCCTTATTTTTGACTGTTTTCATCATAGACGACAAGCTTAGAGAATATAAATAACAACTATCGCAATACTCTATCCTATGACTGTTCACCAAAAAATTGGCAAATACATACATAAAAGCACAGCACCAAACAATTGCTACAATCTACCTTTTGGGTAAAAATTGTCTTTAAAAATGTTGGGGCGGGTGCATTCATCAACATAAAATGTAACATTCAGATAAACGCTTATTGAGAATTTTTAAGTGAAATAAAAAAGGACTGCTAAATCGACCATTAACATATTGACAAACTGAAATAAGTGGCAGGTATCTTATACATAACATGATAATTGGCTTAACAAAGAAGACTCCAAATCGAGTTTTTAAAACATTAAACTACAATACTGTCTACCTAAAAAACCAAACAGCATATGATTACCGTCATAAGGGATAGGAATGTGTTTAAAATTTGAAGTTCTAAATCGAACGGATACTCAGGAACCTATTATTTACTCTCAGTTGTCTGAATATTTCATCATTTCTGTAAGTAACCAAATTTTACATTTAAATTAAAGAGGCAATATTGTTCAGTCCTTATGATTTCTGTTAAATTGAGTACAATCACCGAGTAGTCATCATTCGCTACCATTGTATCATTTTGCATCAATTGATCAATCTCTATCCTTCATTTTAGGATGACGCATGCTCACAACCACAACTGTGAATGCAGTAATTGTATATTAGCATCACTAAAACAGACATGAATAACGTAGAACTTGTTGTGATTAATGCAACGCTGCGTTAGTGCAGAAAAAGTGAAAAGAAAACAGTACTAAGAGTAATAATTATAATGTAGAGATAACAGGGAATATAGTGTTGACTAATCGGGGAAATGACTGGATTAAACGCATCGGATACACTTCACAGGTTCAATTTTCGTCATGTAGTATTTACAGTAACGTGTGGTGATATCAACGGTGAAGTCATACTGACAACTGGATAGGAATGTGGAAGACGTGACATATATCTTAAGAGGATGTAACCTTCCGCCGCGTGGCTAGGCGAGGTAGCCGCCGTCGCAACACATATGAGTTCCAAACATGTAACAGCTAATGTCGATTTCAGTAAATTTAAATACCACTCATACTTGGCTAAAAGCATACTGTTAACTACACAGTAAAGCATTCAACCTAAAAACCCTATTTAAAATAGGATAAATAGCATATCGGGTAAGTCCCAAGGAAAGTCTTAGTAATGGGTGATTTTCTCATAATTGAGGAACACGTTGTCTCTTATGATTTCGTTTTGACAACCAACAATGTCCTTTAAACACTAAGCTAATTGACTTGATGACCGCTGATACAAAGTCACAGATAAATCACTGTGGGTCATTGTTAGGTTGAATAGGTAGAAAACTGCCACATTATTCCGCGTGACTTCTGAACTGTAGTTACTCGTTACCCTGAGAGAGCCAAAATAGTTTACGCACTGAATTAGACGTTACACAATGACCATGAAAAATGGCAGGTAGTAAGTTATCATCAGATAGTAACCAGCAATTATTTGAATTGTTTCCCAGAAGCTTATAGTCAGCAAGACTAGCAGAGGGAAAAATGGATTGTTGATAAGTTTTTTAAAAATGTGACTGAGACGCCAGGTTAACTGACCTATGATCTGTAAATTGAGGAAGTTAGGATGGTTTCTCTGAATAGTTTGTACGAAGAGCCAAAATATAGATAGACTTAAAACTCGAGCGAAACCGCTAAGCCACGTCAGATATCATATTTTACGGTCGAAGCATGAAACTAGAATCCACACGATTGATGAAAATCTTACAAATCTACTTACTTGGTGCAAAGTAATTTGATTTGTGACTTTAGCTTCTCTATCTCTCTGCGACAAGCAAGTCCCAAGCGGAAGAAGTTGTCTGTAATTTGATCTTTTTTAGCAATTAAAACCAAGCGTTCTTTTTCCAGACGACTGACGTGTGCATTCAGTGCCTCAACTTCCGCTTCCAATAATGAAGATTGGGATTGGAGAGAACGTACATGTTCGGGCTTTAAGAAAGAAAGACGACATCAACTTCAAGTTCTTAGCCTGTAACAAGAAAACTAAATAACCAAAGCCATAACAACAACTATGACAAATTCCGAATATTTTCCTTCAAAAATTATGGAGTCCCTGACTATTTACTGTCCTTAAATTTCTTCTCACCCCAAAAGCATGGTTTCAGGAAGGGTTACTCTTGTATAACCAAACTGCTAACTGCGGTGGACAGATGGGCAAGCATCCTTGATCGCAAGGGGAGGGTTGACATCATTTACCTTGATTTCTCAAAAGCTTTTGATAGGGTTGACCATATAATTAATTGATTGGCTCACTTCATATCTGAAAAATCGACATCTTAAGGTCAAGGTTAACTTCAGTTTTTTTTAGGCTATGGAATGTTCTGGTGGAGTCCCCCAGGGTTCAGCACTAGGATCTCTTCTCTTCTTGATCTACATAAATGATCTTCCACAACAGGTATCGTCTGGCTTATTACTTTTTGCGAATGACGTGAAACTTTTGAGAGAGAGATACGCAAACAAGACGATATACAGGCACTTCAGCAGGATCTGACTCGACTTCAAAGTTGGGAAGATAACAGCGGACTCACTTGAAAGTGTAAAGTAGTCAATCTGCAATAAGTCTCAGACTACAGTTACAACTTAAGAAACTCCTCTCTAGTACTATCCCGAGTCGAAGAACATTTAGGAGTCCTGGCACCCTAGGATTTGAAGTCTTACGCTAGCTGTGAAAAAAATGCCTTTCGAGCAAACCTTGCACTGGTAACATTGAAGCGCATTTTTGGCCAGTTTGACGGAGGAACTTTCCACATAATCTTTAAGTTTTATTCGTCCCCATTTATAATACGGATACAGAGTATTTCTCCTCCCCCCTCCTCCGTAAGGATAAGGACACTCTGGAGCCTATCCAACGGCGAGCCACGTAATTAGTTCGGGGACTCAAATTCAAACCTTATTAAGAGCACCTGCAATCACTTAACCTTTACCCATTAGAGTATAGGAGTATTAGAAGCGACCTTCTGATGGCTTACAGTATCCTTAACACTTCTTAGCATCCCCTTAAACACCTAATTAAGCTTAGTTCCAATACAAGCCTATGGGGTAATACCCAGAAATTGGAGATACAACACAGCAGAATGGACTGCAGACACAACTTCTACTCCTTAAGAGTTGTCTAATGCTGGAATTCGCAGCCGAATGAACTATTCCAAGCGAATTTCCAGGAGTCCTTGAAGAGGAAACTTGACCTGTTGTTAAGGACTAAGGATATTACCTTATTATGAGTTACCAATTTCTTTTTTTCCTAATCTATTATAGTTAATATACCTGTGTTCCTGCCTGGAGGTATTGGTGATCCCTTGCTACTAGACACGGAAGCCTGTTAAGCGAAAGCTTCTTCTATTCCGTCCACAACTATTTGAAATCATTTACTTAGGTATGATCTAAGGACTAACTTGATAACTGCCTACACGTTCCTTGCCACACAAAATGTGCCTTACTTGTAAATCACGAAGATATCAAACTATTTTCGACAAACTATCCTAAAATATTTCTGGTTTTTCATCAAGACAGTCGTATCTCAATAATAAATTTTTCAAATGTAAAACAATCTCTAATTTTACGTTGACCATGAGAACAGCCAAAGCAAGCTGTCCCCTGATATTGAAGTAAACTTGATAGTGGAACTGATGCTTGCGACGTCTTGTTGCCTGAAAACTAGATATAGCGAATCAAATCAACAGTAGGAAAAATTTATAAAAATCAGTAGCACAAATTTCATGAAAACTTTGATACCACGTCTAAACTGCACAGATATTCCAGTCTTTTTTCATCATCTTCAGCTACAATTTCGCTGTAAAGATCGAGGTCAGTCATTCCCTAACCAGCGACCTGGCTAGAAAAAGAACTCCGAAGTCGGTAGCGTCAATTGCGGATTAGACCGCCTAAATAGCGCTATTAACATTACAAGTGTCAAACTTTAAGGGAGAGAAATCACTTGTTGTGATTCTTGAAGTGTGAGTTTGAAATATCTCAAAAACATTGAAATACGAATATTTTGTCCGTCTATCACATCCAAGAACAGATGAATGGATGAGTGATATGATTTAAGGATTTCCTAAATAGACCAGCTTCATTGAATCCACCGGACATCGAAGCAGAACACACAGACCTTCCCATAGATGTCACTCCATCAACGATCGAAGAAATCTGGATGACCATCAGACAAATCAAGAGTGAGAAAGCAGCAGGATCTGACAATATACCAGCTGAAGCACTGAAGTCAGACATAAGAGTAACTGCAAACATGCTTTACCTTCTATTCACAAATATTTGGGAGGAGGAATAAGTGCCACCGACTGACTGGAAAGAAAGATATCTGGTCAATATGCAGAAGAAAGGAGATTTGAGCAAATATGAAAACTATCAAGGCATTACGCTACTGTCGTTACCAGGTAAAGTTTTCAGTGTTGCTGACCCGGATGAAAGATTCAGTAGATGCCCAACTTCGAGATCAATACGCCGGATTCCATAAGGATCGGTCGTGCACAGACCAAATCACGACACTACGGATCATCACTGAGCAACCAATTGAGTGAAACTCGTCACTATACATCAGCTTCCTTGATTATGAGGAAGCCTTTGACAGTGTAAGTAGGAGGACCCTGTGGGACCTTCTTTGACACTATGGTGTACCTGAGAAAATCGTCACCATCATCCGGAATTCATACGACAGAGTGCAGTGCAAAGTCGTGCATGCAGAACAGCTGACAAACGTATTTCAGCTGAGGACCGGAGTCAGACAAGGCTGCTTGTTCTCCCTCTTTCTCTTTCTTCTGGTGGTTGGATGGATTATGAAGACCTCTATATCTGAAAGGAAACACGGAATACAATGGATAGCTCAGGTGCAATTACGTGATTTGAACTTCGCAGATGACCTGGCTCTTCTATCCCGTACACAGCAACAAATACAAATGAATTCAGGCAGTGTAGCAGAAGCCTCTGAATCAGTAGGCTTCAGCATACACAAGGGAAAAAGCAAGGTCCTCAAATACAACACAGAGAACACCAACATTATCACACTTGATAGAGAAACTCTTGAAGTGGTGAAAAATCTCACGTGCCCGTGCATCATCATCGTTGAACAGGGAGGATCTGATGCAGACTTAAAGGCAAAGATTGGCAGAGTAATGGCTGCATTCTTACAGTTGAAGAACATATGGAAACCAAAACGTCTATCAACCAATATCAAAGTTACAGTCTTCAATACGAACGTCAAGACAGTTCTACTGTACAGAACTGAAACTTAAAGAACTACTACAATAATCATCAAAAAGGTACATGTATTTGTGAACAATTGTCTAAACAAGATACTCAATATCCCTTGGTCGGACATCACCTGCAACAGCCTACTGTATGAGTGAACAAAACAGCTTCCAACTGAAGAGGAAATTAGGATGAGACGTTGGAAGTGAATAGGACATATATTACGGAAATCACCAAACTGCATCATGAAGCAAGCACTATCTTGGAATTCTGAAGGAAAACTTAAAAGTGGAAGGCCAAAGTACAAATTATGTTTGAAAATGGAAGCGGATATGAAAAGGATGTCTAACAACTCGAAGATTGTCTTGAACAGAGTTCGATGGAAAATACTAGTAGGGGGCCTTTGCTCCTTCACCAAAGGTAACAGTCGAAATTATGTACATTGGAGATTTCTTTTCATCATGTTGTTCGTCGGTTTTCCTTCATTTTTAGTTTTTTTGGGTAAGAACTATAAGAGCATGTTTAAGTAAACTCGTACGTAAGTAACGATATAAAACATACGAAAACCTTGTATTCATATGTGTAGGAAGCATGCGATACCGTAAAGTGTCTCACAGTGATGTATTTAAATTTTTATGGAATAAAACATACACTCATATGAAAACATCAGTGCAAAATATGTTTCTGTATTCTTCGACACAAGTATACAAAGAATATAAAACAAGACGTTATGCAGTGTTCTATGAAAGGTGGTCATTTACGCGTTCTGGGAACATAACCTTTTGTCAGAGCGCGTTGTTAAGTGGCGGTTATCTGGTACCAGTGAAGTTTCGTCGTGGATGGTGATTATCGGGAACGGCATCGTAACTATGGGATCCGTGTCAAGTGAAATCGAAATTATTAGAGTTTCCTTCTGAATACACAGATATAAGATATTCAGTTCTGATATAATCATTAGTTCGGTTCTTATTGATGGTACATCACTTAAGTTCACAATGAAAAATTTTATAGGGCACTTAGCACTCAGCTTCTAGAGGTCGTAGTAATGATTCTTGATGTATGAAAGCTCGTACCTTTAGTTATAAGGTGGATTGAAAGATAACATTAATTAATTGTCTTCTAATGAATGCAAGTTTAACTATACGCATCTCACTTGCAAGTCTTCTAGTGTAAGTACTTAGATCTATATTGTTTGAAGAAGAAGGACCAACGAATTATCCCAGAAGTCGAAGTGTCCTTCTGTAAACGAGTCGTGCTACAGTGTATCAAGCATTAGCGTCTACTGTATCGAGAATACCTAGTAACATAAGTGAAGATCCTCAGTCTATTGTGATATGGTCACGAGTCAAAGTGAAGCTCATAACGGTCGTTTAAGTCGTTCTACCAACCGTTAAGTTGTGGGTAGTAGACGGTCGTTCGGAATCGTATGGTTCCTAGTGATGCGGTGAGAAAACAGGGAAGTCCAGATTCCAACTGGAATCCACAGTCTGTAGTACTATTTGAAGGGCAGTCAAATTTTGCTAACCACCGTTCGATTAGGGCATGGGCTTCTGTTTCAGCCGTGATGTCTTTGACTGGTACTACTTCTGGACATCGTGTGAAATGGCACACAAATGTTAATTGATAAGAGTATCCGTTGGAATCTGGTAAGGGTCCCACCAAATCAAGATGGATGTGGTCACAGCGAGCGTCAGGAGATTCGAAAGAACCTGAGAGAAATTTGATGGAGAATCATCTTACATTTTTGGGAGATTACAAAACAACGTGAACACTCCCTCGCATCGTTATTCATGCCAGGCCAACAAAATCGTTCAGCTTAGAGTTTAATGACTGCGAGAACATCTGGATGCGAAAGCTTGTGCAACGTTTTGATTACGTTACGTTGATAATGTTTCAGCTGCACTCGACGACCCCTACCTGTAGATGGATTATATAAAAAACTTGCCTTACCTGTTCTCATCTATTCAGTCAGTAGTTTCAAGAATCTTGTTGACAACTCGTACTTAATATCGGTATCTTCCTCTTAAGGCTTGGTGAGCTTAGGAAGAATGAAGCCTTGGAAACTGTTCAATGAAGCTACACGTGACAGGGTACCTGCAACCACATTGTTCATTCCAGAGATATGTTGTATATCTGAAGTAGACTGGGAAATGTAGTCTAGCTGTTGAGACTCCCGAGGATAATACTTGTTTGAAGACAAGCTAAGAGAAAAAGTATGAGGTTTAAATTCTGTGGAGAGTGAGTTCGCATCGCCACACGTTATGTTAAAAGTGCCGCACAGCACAATACATTGCTGGGAGTTCCCCAAAGAAGGTAGTGATCATAAGGATTTTATGAATGTCGTCTATAGCCATAAGAAACTGGTTATATTATTCGATCAGACAGTTTTTTAAGGGAGCAGTTGTACCTTTCCAGGTGGCCTTCGGGTCATGGATATGGTGCAAGGGGTTATGGAATCATGGTCTAATTTTTATTAGTATTGCTGTAATAATAGACCTTATCCTAAAATTATAGATTTTTCGTGATGCAAAAACATAATCTATAAGATCTTACGTAAAAGTCACATCATCGTTTATTCTGACTAATCGTATCGTAACAATGGGCAATATGTTTGACGTTTCTAAACAACATATTTAGGCTAGAGATAGAACAATATATTTAATGTGAATAGAAGAGATAAGCTACGCAAGAATGACCACGTTTGCAAGGATGAGTCATGCCATCCGACCCAATATCGAATAAGTGTTCCCGTGTTCACTATTGTTAACCTTCTCTTCGTGTTAATTGCTAAATACAAATTTTTTCAGTAATTATATGCTGGACTTCGAAGGTCGTGTGGTTAAAAACCAACGCCACTACAGGGTAGTGATCGTGAATGGCTTTCGCATTCAGGAACTGGTAATCACCAGTTGGACGCTAATCATCGCCATTCTTTTCAGGACCGTGTGCATAGGAGATGCCTATACGCTGAATATTTCCTTAATCTATTATGTGCCAGAATTCGTTTTTGGCAAACTTTAGCTTTATGGGAGCCAGTCGACAAGTGGTTCTGTAGTCGTGATGAAATCCACAACATTCTCGGGTACTCACGGTAATTTTGGTCGCGTTGAAGACAGTTTGCGTACACGTTGAATGCTTTTTACAAGTATAGATCGATTATGTGCCTAAAAATGACTGAGATAACCTGCAATCAGAAAATGCTTATGATAAGTCTTGTCGATCGAATGCTATATTCGTTTTTCTAAGCTATTCTGGTAACCCGCAGACCCGAACTAAACAGCCACTTGAACATCAAAGAGAAGATGCAAGTATGAGCGAAAATACTTTATTCCCAGGTTCATTTTTGTACAGAAAATCATAGGTATTTATAGATGTTGGCGTCTGTTAAATCAACATCATATTTCAGTCAATCCGTTAACGACATATTATGCTACCGGCCAATAGTAGCACGCCACGTTGAAATTCTAGAATGTTCCATCATACTCTGATTGGTTAGGACTCTTTGGCTCCTTTCGGGCCTCTGGAGGTTCCGTTGAAGTTCTCCGGAAGCCGACTCAACACCTCACTCGAATAAGATTTTTTCCTGGGATCTATTTGTCATTTGGCAACTGGGTTGCGGTGGCGTCCCATTATTCTTGTCGTCTTCCTTGTCTGAAGCTTCTTTTCAGTGTTTTTGGGCATTTG